AAGAGTAAATGATATTTCCCTCATCAGAGTTGAAGAGATTGTGGACTGTGTATACCCAATACTCTAGACAAACAAACAAACAAAAAACTAAGATGACCGTACCATTGGTTAGCTAATAATGCTGTATCCACATTAGATAGTAACAGAATATCTCTGATCTTAACCTTTGGCATATCTAGACATGTAAATGAAAGAAACATTTGGAAGTAAGTCTGGCATCACCCTGGTGATTCCTTATTGAGTCTTCAAGGCCATGATGATATAAAATGGGAAACCACGAATGCATGGGAGAGACAGGATGTTATGAAGAGAAGATTGGGCTGGGAATTGGAAGTTAGGTTCCAGTCCCAGCTCTGTTTCCAACAAGCTGTAAAACTTCTCTGCATCTCAGTTCATTATTTATTTACTATTTATACATTGCCTATTTTCCAAAACAGATTGGAGGTGGCTTTCAATAAAAACCACTGATGTATCAGAACTCTTTTACAAGGTAATAAGCCAAAATAAAAGAAAAAAGAAAGAAGGATAGTTATAGCAGCAAATCTAAGCTTGGGGAATACACTGTAGTAGCATACAAAACGCTGCTGCGTCACGGCCAGAATCGAGCAAGAAACATCTTGTACCACAATCATCACCCATGGATCTCAGTTTTTGTATTTACAAAATGGGTGAAAAATGAAAGTTGGATGAAATCACTTTTAAGGTATTTTTCAAGTTCAGGTGTTTCTGTTAAAAACCAATACGTACATTCCTGAAAATATTTCCTCTATTTCCACATAATGAAGCACTATCACAAGCCTTAAGGAAAAATTTGGGATCAAGCAGCTCACTCATAACCTGTGTAACTTTGTAATCAGAGAAATATATGAATAAATAATAATGATGATGAAAATACTAGCATGGTTTAAAAGGAATGTTAAATTACAAACAAATGAAGGAATACTACAGTATGTAGAAGATTTTACCTATAAAAATAAAGGGGCTAGGGGATGAATATTTGTTGATAGAAGCCTGTGTAAGGAAAGGTTGAAACTTATGAGTTCAAGGACAAAGTGCACATGGATGAGGCGAAACATATAATTAAAACTTTAAGGGACAGCATGAAGCCAAATTGAGGCAAGATGAAGTATGTAGAGTGAAAAGTCATAGTGTACAGTATTACAATCCTCAGCTAACTGCTGTATTCAGCTGTGCTCATGTACTTTGAATTCAATTACTGTCATTTCATGGGGCCAACTATTAAAGAGGTGGGGAAAAAAATGAGCCAACATGACTTGTACATTGTTTGACATTATATCCCTATTTGCCAATCAGTATGAAATGTTTTACTTTAAGGAAACACCATGTAACAGAACAGACTGTATAATGCTTTTTGAATCCAAATAGAAATATGCAGATAAATAGGAAGAAAAGCATCTGTGACTAGGACTTGATCAGTGTTTCTATCAAGATACCAAAGAGTTTCTGTATTGGACTAGACACACTTGGAATGTTCAGGTATGCATAGTATTGATTTGGCTATTACTGTGTAGAGAAAGACTAAAAGGCTAGTAAGGCTAGAAAGACAAAGAAACAATACAGGAGCGTTATGGCCATGAGGAGACTATCATCTAAAATGATGACTGGGAGAATGTGGGGTAATTTTGAAAAAAAAAAAAAAAAACAAAGCAAAACAAAACAAAACATGAAAAGGGCATTAGAAGATGGAGATGAAAATCATAAATAAATTCCAAGTGGCCATAGCAAATCAAATAAAGAAAATTTGTTTGCCCCAAAGAGAGTTCATGGAAGATTCAACTATCGAGCGGCTTTGAGGAAAGGAAAAGGAATTGTCCAGCCATTCCCACTTTCTGCACAAAATTCCCCTAATTTTCAACCGGGGGAAATTTTGCCTCCCCAGAGTGTATTCAGCAACATCTGCAGACATTTTTGGTTGTTGCAACTGGGGAGGTGCTACTGGCATATAATAGGTAGAAGCCAGCAGTGCTGGTAAACAACCCACAATACTAAAACGACTGATCTGGCCCAGAATGGGCCAGTAGTGCCGTGGTTGAGAATCTCAAAAAAAGGCAAGACTGCAGAGTAAGTTCATCTCTCCTAGAGGCAATTTTCTACGTACCAGTCTCCTTCTCATGGCCTAAGTGGAAGTTGTAAATTTGTTTTGAATTCTTTAATGTGATGCCTCTAAGATCCATCTGTTCCCACCAATCTCATCTTTGATACCTTTAGCTTAAGTTTGGCTTAACCGTAATCCATATCTGATGTCCTTAAAAGTATTCCCATTTATTTCCTCCTCTTTTCTGTGACTTAGTTATTTTGTCCCCTTATGAATTAGTATTTTGACTTATGGGGTCATATCCCTTTCTCTTCTTTTAGTTGTACTCCTTCTCTGATGTCCTGAATTTTATTGCTCTCAAATGGTATCCAAGATGTTTGTTCACTGAAGTGAACAAAAAAACTAACTTGAACATGTTTAGTGTGCAACTAAGTTTCTCAATATTTGAAGTCCTTTTTGTATCTCTCAAGATACTATCTTTATGGCAAACGTAGTCTTAACTATGCCAAAATTATGAAAATAGTCCTTAGATTTGCCAATACTTTGACTTGAAGGAGATAAAGTGAACCAGAGGAAAACAAAAGGACTAGAATCAAAAGCACTGCTTCTAAACAAGGAGAAATACGTTCTTGTAATCACATGAGGAGGAAGATAATGGGACAAACAATGAGCTTCAGGATTTATTTTTTTATTTTCTGATATTCACACCAAATTTCTGCATGCTGGAAGTTTACTTAACCTAAAATTTTTTAGTCCAGAAATAAGTAGAAACTCAGTTGACTGTTTTGGGGGACCTCGTGTGTCGACAGTGGATTTGATTTAAATGGGACAATATTGTGGAAAAGTCTGCCCTTTACTAGCTGTTCCAAATGTCAATTCCATCTGAGCCTTCTTCTATAAGGGGACATTAATTTCTTTTTCCAACATTTTTCCTCATGATTGACATTCACTAGACCTTTCTCTCCGGCTATTAGTTTCATTAACATTATTATTGCATTTGGTTGGCATTCTTTCCTCTGCCTAATTCTGTAAAGATCAGATAGTATTTGTTCCACAGATAAACTTTTCTTTCTCATACACACACTCAGTACACAAGAAGCCCACAGAATCTTACATGGACACAGCCTACGTAGATCCAGGCAGAGGGAGACATTTTCAGTGACAGCCTATGCTTCTCACTGATATTCCAGAACAGGGAGAAAAAAGGAAATGTTTTCACCTCTGTATAGTAAGTGTTCCTTATTCTGATAACAATAGAAAGCTATTTCATGGACATTACATCTACCTTTTCTCTAGTCTAAATGGAAAGCAGAATTACACAGTTAACCAAATATATGTTGAGAAAGGTTCCTTAAAACACACTGAAAAAAAATTGTAGTAATTTATTAGCTGGTCTCTTAAAGTCCATGTATATGTGTGTGACTGCATGCAAATCTGTGTGCATGCAAAAATGAATGCAATTCACCTTTTTGCTTTTCACAGTGGATCCTGTGTTTTAGGATTTGTGAGCTCTCAGAATTTCAATAAGTAAAAATGTCACCCTATTTCTAATGATATATTTGATTAAGTCATGCTGATATGTAATAGAGAGTCTTCAGACTTTTATTGAGACCAGTCAGTGCATAAAATATTTTCTCTACTGGTAACCAATATTTATTGAATGGCTCCTGTGTGTGTCAAGGATTCTATACATGTTATTTTATTTGATTCTCCTTTGTCTTAGAATTATGAACTCACCAAATCATTCCTTTAAAGAGAAAAATGTTTTCCAGCCTCTTCAAGTTAGGTGGGACCGTGGAACTAAGTATGGTCATTAAAATGTGGGTGGGAGTAAATATGCCATTTTCAGAGCTTGCCCGTGGTAACTTCCACACGCCCCTGCCCCCCACCCTTCTCATTGACTGGCTGGATTCTGAGAGAATCCAGGAAAGGATTCTAAGACCTGTGATAACTACTGGATGACTGGAGCCTGGATTCCCTGGAGGAGAGCTACTCAGGAAAGTTGATGGTGATGATATTAATTAATGAATTTTCATGAGCAGTAAAGTTAAGTAATGCTAAGAACTTAGGTGTCATTGCTGTTTTGCAGCAGTGAGTATTATTAAACTCGAATAATATAGCAACTGGTAACTAGAAAAAGAGTGCTGCTAGACTACAAAACTTAAATATGTGGTATTTGCCTTATAGGTTGGATGATAAGCAGCAAGGAAATTGATATTGAAGTCTGATAAGATAGAACTCATATTATTCAGTGGTAAATATTTTGTGTAACTATCACTTGTGATTGTGTTGAAGGCAAACCACATGCTTGCTGAGCCAGCAGCTCCAGTGGAAATAATTAGAAGAATCAACAGTTAGCGTGTGTTGGATACTACTGGCTGCTTTGACAAGATATTGCAATATTACAAGAAAGAGATGAACTCAGGAAAACTCTGGCTGGCTTGCAAGCAGAAATGAAAGGAAACAAAGAGAGATAGAAAGCAAGGCCTTTATTGCTAGGAAAGCCATCTGCTTCTAGACACAAACAATAAGATGGAATTTTGAAAGGTTTTGAGTGTCAATGGCCAAATAAAACTCAGATGAATAAAATGTCCAAAAACAGTTATCTAATTAAGAGTGTGGCTTCCCATTCAATGTCAGCCACCATTTTCTTGAGAGAGAGAAAGGCATAGGGTTGAGGAAACAACAAAATAAGGGAGGCTTGAAAACTTAAGTTTCAGAAGGAAATATGAATGTGGTTATTGGCAAATGAAACTAATTGTAATCAAAAGACAGAGTCATGGGTTGGACTGTGTGCCCCCCAAATTCATGTGTTGAAGTCCTGGCCCCTAGTACCTTAGAATGTACCTCATTTGGATATGAGGTATTACAGGGGTAATCAAATTAAGCTGTCATTAGAGTAGGTCTCAATACAATGTGACTGATGTCCATACAGAAGAGGAAATTTGGACACAGACTGGTACAGAAGGAAGACCATGTGAAAACACAGGATGACAAAGCAAGCAAGTTAATTATCTGTGCTTCTTTCTTCAGTTTTGTAAGTGGTAGTATCACTGTGGTTATCCTGATCCTGATCTGCCATTACATATGAGGTTTTATGGCCAGTAGGGGTGGGGCGGTGGGGAAGGAGATAGCTTGTCTCTTTAAGTCACAGGTAGAAGATCAAGAAGAGCCACATCTAGTGAGGTGGAGAAAGTGTCTCATTACCCAGCAATCCTGCTGGATGCAGTGACTGGATGGAACTTTGGGATGTCTTCCTTGGGTGCTGCTAAATACATTCTATGTATTGGTAGAGTATAACGGAGATGCTACTCTTTGCCCTCTATACTCTTTCATTTCTTTTTGGACATATAGCCAAACTACCTTTGCAAGCTGCCTTGTAGATGGTGAGACAATGTGAATCAGGCGTGGGCTAAGAAATACCAGAGGAAATGACATATGGTTTTTCCAGTTATGGGCTCTAAACACCTCTCAGAAAATCTCTCATATGGAATCACTGGCTCAACAGATGAAGAGAATCCTTGAAGAACTCCAAGGACTTATGGGAGCTCATAATTTCTAGAATAGACGAAAGGAGCCCAGGTCCCAGAGTCACTGCTTTAAAGGGTAGCTGCCAAGAAGAACTGTCCAATCTAGGACATTTTTATTGGCCTTTATGAGAGCAAGAAATAATAAAGTTTTATTTGGTCAAGCCATAAAATTTTAGCGTTTGTTACTGAAGCAGTTAACATTAATTCTGCTCATTCATATACTTCTCATTAATCCAGCACAATAATAACAATAGCCTTTCAGAGAAGTATCTTAAAGATTGCTAAATTGCCTAGAGTTATACAATAAATTAGGCAGGCTATAATGGGTTAATCCAGTCACAATAGTTTAGTTTTGGCCCCAGAATGGAGAAAGTTGTATATTATGTCACGGTGTAAACACATAAAGGTATCTTTACAAATCCATGACAGAAATATACATTCGATCTGTCAATAACACACACACACGAATACACACCCCTAAAGTTTGTATTTATCTTGTTTTGCTGAACCATGTGATGAATCACAGTGATTTAAGTGAGTTAAAAATAAGGGGAAATTACCAATATCGGAAAAATATTAGTTGACCCTTATCCCTGCCAATTTATAGCAAGTATAATGGATTATGAACATTAAAAAATGAAAAAAGTCACCGCAATGTTAAATGGCAGTTGCTACAGAATATGTTTGAATAAAAATATTACTAATGAGGCAGTCTAGGTCTCAAGCCAGCTATCCAAATGCCAAGTACAACTGAAATAGTGCTGCAGATCAGGGAGTTAGTAGCAACACAAACACCAGTGAATAGACTTGCCAGACCATAAAGAGAGCAGTGTGAACTAAGTGTGTTACCTGGAGATGGAAGCATTAGGCTATCACAGTTCACAATATGCATTAATGTCCTAGTGAGAAATGTAATCCCAAGCTACTTGCCTAGTTGTTATTTCCAAGGATGACTAATCATACAGGGAATTAAGAAACGAAATACATTAGAATTAGTGTCATTATAGAAATCAAACTGTACTTGTTTAAGGGGAAAAATAACAACCATAAGATTTTTTTTTTTTAACCAAGAGTTTGCACAGATTTATTGGCTGCTTTTCTTTGAATATTGGCATTACATTCAACTTTACTGACATTGTATTATAATCAGACAGAATTTTGGATTTTTCTCTTCTATTCAGACATGATTAGGTGCTGACTGTAGACATGAACAATAGGCAACTGGAAACAAATGGCCCTAATGTCACAAGAGAGATAAAACAGATCTAAAATGCTACTTCCCATCGGTGTTCATCAAAGCCTGATTTAGTTATTGCAGAAGGACTGCGGGTCTGTGCTTCAGTTTACGTTCGCTTTCACAAGATATTTCAGCCATTATCCTGATAACATAGACAATCTTTGGGGATGTTATTAGATCCTTCCCTCCTTTTCTTCCTTCCATTCTTTTTCCCTCCTTCTTCCCTCCTTCCCTTCCTTCTTCTTTCCCTCGGTCCTCCTTTCTTAATAGATATGGACAATGCTGTGGTTGATCTTTAAAGTACTTTAAATGTTCAAAGGCATTTCAAACACCTTTTATTTCACAAAGATAAAACATTGTTTACATAGTTCTAGGACAAGAATAAGCAATATATGACACACAGAAGGACTAGGGGAAAAATAGAGTTTTTTTCCTCTCTTATTTTCTTCAGCATTTTCTTTTGTCCCTCCTGGTCACCATCCTTCCTTTCCGTCTACTCTCCCCTAACTCGTTGTTTCTCCCTACTCGTGGCTGCAGCGGCACATCTAGGCACTTTTCACTTCTTCCCATAAACTCTCAGTGAGTTAGCAGAGGATTTTCTACCTTTGGTTTAACCCTTTTTTTTTTTCCATACAGATTTCTCAAAACACCCAGATAAGGCCTTCTCTGACTTTAAATGATCCTCCAATTTTATCTTCATACAGACACAGAGTGTCTAGAGACACAGAGTGTCTTCAATCACATGCAACGTTGCTCCTTCTGCCAGCCAAACACTGTGAAAGAAGTTGGTGTAGTGAGATGGGCTTTGTTTTATGCCAATCTGAGGTCAAGTCCCAACTCTGCCACAAATCCACTGTTAGACAAATTCCTTAATCTTTGGATCTGCTCTCTCATCTACAAAATAGGGATAATAACACTCACCCCTCAATGGGACCTGACATGGCAGATCTACATCACAGAATACAATGCATGGTAATTATCTATGGCAGACTGTGGCCCATCGTAGACACCCAGTGATTATGAACTCTTTGGCAGCTCATTTATTCTCAACCTTGCGATAGCCATCCAGGCTTTTAATTATTTTTAAAAATTTTTCATAACTTCCTACTTCATCAGCTGGGAACTGGTCTTTCTGAATTGCCTTGGTTTTAGATAAAGGCTCTTGTGGGCCCAGAATGGTGGGAAAGAACAATTTCCCTCTGTTTACCTGCCTAACAAGGATAAATGACTCTATCTCTGTGGCTTATGTTGAATGCCTGATAATGCATCTCCAAGAGAAGCACTTAGCAAGAAAACTCATAAATATGGCTATAATGTTTATTCAAAGTACTCTATTTGCAAGGCCAAGTATACAAATGAAGGATGAAAACAGACAAAATGGGTCACTAACATTAGCCTGTGCTGTTTGTGAGGCAGGTAGTAATAATACAGTGTGTTGTCTCTTCGTGCCTGTTTTTCAGGGAGTTTTAGTTACATAACAAAGATTTATTGTAAGAATAAGAAACTTACTCTCTCCTATCTTAATGGGATGTCTGCTGGTCTGGGAATGCAGGTCATAGAGATGTACTACCAAAAGTGCATGTTTTAGAAGGTTCTTTGTCTCCCAAGCCTTGATATTTGCATAATACACAAAGTCAATTTATACTCCTTAATCATACACAAATACTGCATCTCTTTCCCTTAGCATCCTGGCAATCATGTTCCCGCAGGAATGGAATAGAACCTAGAGGTTATTTACCTTTAAAGAGAGACAAATAAAAGAACAGAGAATAACTGATCGTGAAAGTGAAACTCAATTTAATCCACATTGATCCAGAGCTGAATGGAGGCTAAATGGTTGAGACACAAACAGGCAGATTTTTGCCTCAACAGAAGGAAAGAAAGAAGGAAGCAAACTAAAAATAAGTACCCATTATATGTGAACAGGTGTACTTAAAAATGTTCAAGTTTCATCTCACCCGTTTTTGAACTAATGGTTGCGATTTTACCCTTTAAAAAAAGTAGACAAGAGATATTTCTTTCTTATTATGGTCACTCAGCTAGTGAATGGCATAGTGGTGTTTATCTCAGTTTATGACTGACTCTAAAACTTACACTTTCCATTCTACCATTATATCTCTGTAACCTCAGTTAAATCTTCATGCCTAAAGCTGCTAAAAAATTTAATCAGTGACTGAATGGGTAATAAGTTCCTTATCACCAATATAGGTGCCTGGAACCTGCAGAAACAGAATACTGAAGAAAAGCTCCACAAAGGGTGGAGGCTGAAATTCTACAATAGCTATCATTTCTGTGTTTCTGTGTTCATCTCTCTTCTTGCTACCATTGCTTGTGGTCAGATTGTTGGAAGCTGCATATGAATAGTGTTTTAAACAGCAACTACAGCAACAGTTGCATCTGTCCTCTATCATTGGGTGCCTTGTCAAGCATTTTATAAACATTATCGCATTTAGTCCTTAGTACTTAATGAAATGTTGTTTTATTGCCCCATTTTTTTTCAGGTAAGAAAAATTAATTTCAGAAAGGAAAATAAACTTGCTTGAGGCAGGATATTTCAAATCTTGGAGTCTAACCTGGATCTAGCTGACTCAAAGAAAGTTACATATTTTGATCCGTGTGTCAAAAATCTCAAACCTCTTGGGGAAAAAATTTACAGGAGAAAAAAAGTTAATGCTTTGGGATGTACTTCATTCAAAATAATATCTTGCACAGGTAAACATAAAGAATGATAGAGTTGCTATGCCTGGTCTTGCTGGTTTTCCTAAATGCAATTAACCTTACACATTTTCCTACTGTTTAGCTATCCACAGTGTTCTCCTTTTTATGGTTCAGCTTGTCAATGTTTCTCTTAAATATGATAAAGAGCCTTGTACCCTGCATCTGTCCATCAGGCTAAACAAACTGGTTAGAGTTGCTGGAGGAAAACACTGGTCTTGTCTATTCCTACACACATCTATATCACCCTCCTGACATTTGAGAGTCTAGATGTCATTGCCACATGCAACTGCATTTAGATTTGTTTCCTTAAATACATAAATGAATACATAAATACATGAACGAATAAATGATCAAATAAATAAGTAAATAAATAATCAAAGCTGGGCACGGTGGCTCATGCCTGTAGTCCCAGCACTTTGGGAGGCTGAGGCGGGTGGATCGCGAGGTCAGGAGTTCAACTTCAGCCTGGCCAGCATGATGAAACCCTGTCTCTACTAAAAATACAAAAAATTAGCCAGGAATGGTGGCATACCCTTGTAGTCCCAGCTACTTGAGAGGCTGAGGCAGGAGAATTGCTTGAACCCAGCAGGCGGAGGTTGCAGAGCTGAGATTGAGCCACTGCTCTCCAGCCTGGGCGACAGAGTAAGACTCTGTCTCAAAAAAAACATGATAATAATAACAATAACAATAATCAAAACCTCATAACAGTTCCTTCACTTTCATCCCAAAATATGCATTCCTGAAAGGAAAGCCATGGGATGAATTCCATCCATGGAAACTTCTGCCTGATTCTCATATTCCCCAGGATTGCAGAGGAGTAGGCTGATGCTCCACACCTGGAGTTGACATATGATGATTTATAAGAGAACGGAATTTTAAAAGAGACATGGTTCTTTTAATGGCAGTCTTCGGAGTCTCTTCCAATCCTCTTGCTACCTTCATCTCCTTTCAAACCAAATGTTCTGAACAGGGATATCTTAGCTTTTCATATTGCCTTAATAAAAGAAAGTAAGTTGGTTCAAATCTAGCAAAACTGTGCATTTGAAACATCTTTATGATCTTGTTTGAGATTATTTTAAAATCTTATTTGACTTCAACTTAGTCATTAACTTCCTGTAGAGCAATGAGCTAGTACCCTGTATTAGGCAAACTTGCTGTAAATTAAATGCATCTTCAAGGTTACTCCTACTCTCTGATATGCCCACCTTCTTATCTCTAAGTCTATGTGTGTTAGCTAGTAACGCAGGAAACAGAAGACACTCTCAAATTAGAATAATTCAAGAAGAATTTAATAAAGAGACTATTTACAAACATGTGGGCAGAGTTTAGGGAAATCATAGGAGATAGTAACACCTCTGTCATTTCTTGGTTAAAAGGGGAGAAGGGAAGTGGTACTAAAACCAAGCAGGAGAGAGTGCAGAGGGACCATAATAGAAGATGTTCTATCTGAGGATGGAAAGCTCCTAAGTGCAAGCTTACAAGGAGACAGATGTATACCAACTACACACTCCTCTTCCTATCTCCTTCAGGTGCTCTTCAATGGACAAAGGCCATAAGAGGCTGGAAAGCAAAAGGACCCATTAATGTAACGCAAACATCAGTCTCCTGGAGTAAACAGGTGAATGGAGAAGCGTGGAGAGTAGATGTGGATGAGTGAAAAATACATCACACCATGTCTTCAAATTACATCCAGCAACTTCACATGCACTATGAAACCCTTGTTGCCACAATAGTCCCTCTTTCTTTGAACTACTATAAGAATAAAGAAATTTCTAATCTTTTGTAGAATAATTACATAGACTCTCACTCATTGCTGTTGTTTCATAGGTGGCTGATTTTCCAATAATATTAAATACTTTTGGAAGGGCTGGGACTACATCTAATTTCTTGAAAAGTCTGGTGTTGTGGAAGACCAAGACCCAGACTGTTGAGGTCAGTCTAATGTAATGTGAAATAACTAAGCTCTGTGTACTTCTTTACCATGAGTATATAAATAAAATATCACTGCATTTAAGGAAATTGCTCAAAGCCTCACAGTGAATAAAGTTGAGAAAACATGTAGACTTATTCCAGATTTTATGTACTTAGGTTTTATGGCTTCATTTGCAATTAGGACTTCCCTTCCCCTTCCCCTTTCTCTTCCTTCCCTTCCCTTCCTCTTCCTTCTTCTCCTCGTCCTGTTTTTCTCCTCTTTCTTCTTCTTCTTCCTCTTCCCTACCTTCTCTCTCTCTCTTAAATCTGGACATTTCTCTCAGACTTGCAATTATTTTTGGAAAGGCAATCTTCACCTTCTACAAGAATCCATGTGGGAAAAGTTGATATTCTACACGAATTAGCAGGAAATAATAATATCCTGCCTTTTATTTTGAGTCTCCCTACTGTCTCACTCCCTCGAAATCACCATATAATCAATCTGAAGCAGCAACATGCAACAGCATTAAAATTAGGGATGTTTGAAGAGGGAATTAGCCTACTCACTCATTATTCTTGATTAATAGAAAATTATCCTGCTAACATTTACCGTGCTATCCATTTGTTATTTGGAAGTGATTAGCCACAAATAGCAGTTAAGAGCAAGCCAGTTCTGTGGTTTCAGTCACAGCTTTAATTACCTCCGTAGTGCCTCTTTCTTCAAACACGCCTTCCTCACTTGAAAATAGCTCACACCTTCCTTAAACACTGCCTCTTCTCCTATATCAGCTTTTCTCTTTCAACCAGATCAGTGGCCCTGCTCACTTTTACCCTGTTCACGAAGACACAAGAAACCTCAGAGAGGGAATTAGTTTATGGCTTAAAGCTGGGAGAGCTCGGGGCACAGATGGTACTCTTTCCCAGATTTCCCTATTACCTAGCTTCTATTTTCAGCCCTCAACACATTCCTCATTAATTAGCTTTCCTCCAAGAAGAAACCTGAGGGCCTCAGGCCAGATATTGACCTAGCATCACTACTTGCCTCTGGAATCTCTGACCTCTTTCCTTGCTTTCTTATCCTCTTTTAAACAACCCTATACTAGACTTGTCCTTTCTGGTTCTCAGGATGCCCTCAGGTTAGCCAATATTCCCCTAGGCATTGCCAGATTGTCGACCTTGATTTCTCCCACGTAATTTTCCTTTTTGTATATTTTACTCTCATGGAGAATTCGCCTCACCTGGTTGCCTCTTAAGAAAAATGCAAAACCACAATGAGATACCATCTCACACCAGTTAGAATGGCGATCATTAAAAAGTCAGGAAACAACAGGTGCTGGAGAGGATGTGGAGAAATAGGAACACTTTTACACTGTTGGTGGGTTTGTAAACTAGTTCAACCATTATGGAAAACAGTATGG